GGTTAAGGGTTTAGGATATAGGGTTCAGGTTTGGGGTTGAATATTGATAAGTCCAGTAGGCAGTAGCACGGGATCAAGCGGAAAGGACAACGGAGAATAGCGTGTAAACTGGCTTTATGTAGGGGTACATAGTGTTGGCACTTCAAAATCTGCCCAGTTTTTAATTTAGGGTTTATAGGGTTTAGAGTTTAGAGGTTTATGAACCTTGAACCCTAACCCCTAAGAGTTTGAGGCCCCGGTTTCCCCCTGCATTTCCTCTGTGGCTTCCCTCTTGGAGGGTTTAGAGTTTAGGGTTCAGGGTTCAGGGTGGGGGGACTCTAGTAATTGGGGGAATAATGGGGCTACTATTTGGTTTTTTGAGAGGAAGGGGTTATAAGTACACTTACTAAGTCCCCCGACCCCAAGATACAACCCATACTCTGAAGAATAATCCCGCCCACGAAACCTGTTTTAATGAGTATTCCGCCAAGGATATACGGGTGGGGGATTTGTTGTTGGCGTTGTGGGTGGGCTCATTATTCATTATTAATTTGGTGGGAGGGATTGCCGGTCCCTATGCAGTGTAAGGGTTTGGGGTTTAGTACTAACTGGCTCTCTCATTTTTCACGCCGGTATATCTACTCCCCTGGCTGTCCAAAAACGCGGAGAAGAAACCGGGCAAAGGCAAGGTTGCATTTTGCAAAAATCTCAAATACAGCCCTCTATACCCTTGTACAACCCCTAGACATATGTATTTGCATACCCACTGAACCCTATACAACCCTATAGCCTATAATTACATCCCCATGTAAACCCACACCTCGCTTTGTCGCGGAGTCATGGCCAGCTTACTTCCATGCTTGCTTCGTTGCAGGTATCGTAACTGCAGGCGTCAAGCCATCCATGTTTGCATTCCCCGGCTGAAGGTCACCCTAACCCTGAAAACCCGCGAGTACGCCCCAAACAGCAACCAAGCACTGGGTCTGATCATGCTACAGGATCTTAAGAACACCCTGCATCTGTGTGGTTGTCAAGACTTTTTGTAGGTTGTCAAGTTGTCAAGTCTTCTTGGGGTGCGCGTCTCATGCGAAAGAACTAAGATGCACCGCAAAGTGGCTATCATTTTGACATATTTTGACAACCTACTTACCCTAAAGCCTAAAGCCTGCATGCTTTAAAGACAACCTTGTGCGGCAGAATGGGCAGCTGCTTGGCAGGAAGCCCTATGCCAACGCGTCTCCGCAAATGAACTGTGTCCCAGCTCTCTCGCGAGCTCTCCACCCCCAATCGTCCACACTGAAATTCCATGCCGCGTGCTTCTAGTCTGCATGGGAGATCTGAATTCATGGGGGGTCAAGACGACATTATATTGGGAAAATGGAAAAGAAAATGGAAACTACTATAGGGATTATAGGGTTTATATAGGGGTTATATAAGGATAATGAGAAAGAAAATGGAAACTACTATAATCCCTGAGGTGCAAACAGGCAGACAGGGGTGAATCTGAGCGGCTTAGCAGCTGAGCGTTACACAACTCCATTGGGGTAATATTAGGGTTATATAGGGTTTAGGGGGGTTATATTGGGATAATGGAAAAGAAAATGGAAACTACTATATTGGGGTATATATTGGCTCCTTGTCCGAAACAATGTCTGATGCGATTTCCGGCTTCTGACGGGGATTCCGTGCAGGAATGTCCTTCCCAGTCCTAATAAATCTGCGGGTCAAGTTACAAAGGAGGGCAATGAAGGGGGCGAGTGAATTAACATGAGCATGAGTGAATGAGGGAATAGCCTTGGCAACTATTCAGGCTTCTGTAACTGACGCATGTCTTGGTCCAACTGCTTTACGGGGGCTTCTGGGAAAACTTGCCTCGCATGAAGGAGAGGCGGACTGAACGAGGTCTGCGTGCGTGGCTAAGTACGGTAGACCCGCAAGCCAGCAGTAGTGACAATAACGGATGGTGGTGATTATGTTAAGGTCCTCTTATGTTCCCATTATACGACTATCGCCTAGAGCAAAACACTAAACCTTGAACCGTGTGTACGCTCCTCTCCTCATGCTGAGGGTTTCGGGTCCAGCCCTCTAAGACTAGATTTCAACAATTGAACGGCTGAACTAGACAGTCTGTACAATGGGGTTTACTATATGCCAGAAATGTATTAGAATATCACAGAGCTCTCGTCTCAAATATGAGATGTCATGATTTGAGACTGATGTGGTGGAGCGGGAGCAGCATGTGGACGATCACATGCACAAACGACAGCACTTCCTACTTCAGCGGGTCAGTCTACCTGTCGCTTGAATACTTATAACCTCCGATATAACAACACATGAGCCTGCAAGTAATCCCCTCCCCCTAATATTAGAACACCACCGAAACAACAAACAACATGTTCCCAACATATGAAAATCTACCAGAATGAGAATACGTGATATTACGGGATGTTTTTTGTCTTACGGGGAGGGGATTTACTACCTATGAACCTGCAAGAGCAATTCGCAAACTGCTCCAAGGCTCTCAAGGGCTGAAATCTAAGAGTTGCCCTACATGATCTCTACCACCCCATACAAGCCATAATCTGAACTCCTAGTATCCCCCTTAATAACCCCTATCATACTCCCCTATATGATCCCCTACCCTACTATTCAACCTCTCACTCCCT